TGCCAGATCCATCCTCTAACTCCTCAAGGCAACAGAATGAGTGTCTCAGGTTTGTAGGAATATATGTGACCTCCAGGACCAATGTTATCAAGACACTCTTCAATGGGGTGAAACTTTTGAGAGAATTGTTCGAGAAAATGATTAAGGATTCTTCAGACCTGAACAAGATCACCCCAAATCAACCCTTTTCAAGAGACTCCAGAGTGAGTGGTAAATCCTTTTAAGTTTCAGCCATTCAAAACCATTTTTCTTTTTGCCACTCTTGCTCCATCAATGCCAGAAAATATTTTCCAAACCACAACCAGAGAGGGCCCTTACACGCTGCTTTTCCTCTATGAATAAAGCCTGTTGGCTCAGGAGTTCATCCCTGTAAGAGGAAGATGGAAGAACTTATTTGACCTTGAGCCAATACTACTTCAGCTAGATGGGCTCTTGAAATAGTTGCAGTAGGACTCCTCAGAGAATTTCAAGATTCCACTCCTCTCTTTGTCCTGTCATCTCCTCTTCCCCAGGGCCTCACAAAATGACAAGTATCGGGGTAGCCATGTTAGTGGCACCTTAAAAACTAACAGATTTATTTGGGCATAAGCTTTCGTGGGTAAAAAACCCACTTCTTCAGATACAAAATGACACGCATCTCTGGACAATGCAGCAAAACTTATCACCTTAGAGGCCATCGTTACTATGCCGGTATTCAAGACATTTTTTGGTTTCTAGTCAAGATCTTTCACAGTGCAAAAAGAGAACAGGAGGTGTTTTTTTCCCCCCAGCCTGGGACTTCTCAAAAATGAACCTAGTAGTTTGCAAACTCCAATTCTGGTTGAACACCATCACTAAAGAAGTTGCCTCTCCAGATTTTCTTTGTTCTGTTGATTTCAAATAGGCCTATTGTCATATCTGTGTACATCACCGATGCTACCTGCCCTCTGCAATTAGATGACAACATCCAGTTTCAGGGAGTGCATTTTGGCCGCTTCTCTTCTCATCAAGACTTTAGAAAATATAGTTATGTTGATTAGCTTCTCTCAGTCAGGAAGGCATCCATATTTACCATTATTTGGATCATCCTAGGGTCAGAATGCAATCATAAGAGGTAGCTGCTTTTTGTACCAGCCAGCAAGATTATCCAGATTCTCAAGAACCACAGATTCATAGTCAATTACAAGAAGAACTCCTTAATTCAGTTTCTGGAACTCATTCACTTCTTCTGGACAAACCTTAGACTGGCCCATATGCCCACAAGATTGAAAATCTTATCAAGATGTGTGACGAACAACAGAAGTCAGCTCACCAGTGCCTTTCATTACTGGGTATGATGGTGTCCTCTGTAGAGACCAGGCCATCTCTCCTTCTGCAGAATTTTCTCACTGATGATTGTATTATGAGAACAGAAGTCAGATCATCTGCTCACTCTTCCTTTTGCACTACAATTGTCACTTCCCTCGTGGATATCCCCTCAACACCTACGTAAGAGTATTTCTCTGACCAATCCATGATCAATGAGATGGCAACTTGTCAGGGTGGGGCGCTCAGATGGGCTCCCACATTATTTAGGACAAATGGTCCAGGAATGACATCACAGCCTCTATTTCCGGGAGTTAAGTTGTAAAGAATGTGATATTTAACTACTAGAACCTAAGACCATCCATGTAGGAAGCAGTAACAAAACATGACAGGAAGACAGTGAGATTTTCTGTCTGCCACTCACATCCTTAAACATGGAGGGTGGATATGTTATCTTTTTTTTTACATGGGCAATACTGACATGTTGTTTTCCTCACTCCCCTCAAATGGCTGAGATGGCTAGGAATATCAGGCAGGAATAAGCAACAGTAATCTTAACAACTCTACTTGCTCAGACATCCATTGTGTGTAAACCAACTGAGGATCCTGCTGGTCTTTCACATTCTCATTTACCAGGGCCCCTTAGTGCGTGCTTACACATGCGCACACACACACACTGAACTTTTCATTCTTTGAGACTTGGAACCTGCTTGGAACCGGAGCCATATTACATCTCATAGACCTTGGTTCAGAGTTACGGGAGGGATGGAATTTTCTAGAAAGCCTCCAACTAAGAGGAACATGAGGGAATATGGAGAAATTTGTATTTGTGGTATGTGTGTGGAATAATATCAATCCCATCTCTACATCTTGGATCAGCTACATGATCTGATACAATTTTCAGGTGGAAAGTTCTTCCATCTTCCTTTGGTCCTCTTCCATAAGGACCTGAAGGGCAGGGACAGGATGATATTTTTTATTCTGTTCACCTTCGTATTCTACCTTTTGCTGCTTCCTATCAATATTAGACTGATGGAGTGATGGATGATACCCATGCAAGAGAAAGGTGAAATTAGCTTCATTTAATGTAATTTTATTTTCTTTAAATGAGTATCTGCCACTCTGTCAGAACCCACTAGTCTTGACTGAGTCTGAAATTTCTCTTCTAGCATGGGGAGCTCTTTTTTCCATATGCAAGTGCAGCTCTGGAAGGAAAGACAGAGGAAAACTATCAAAGCATTTCAAGTTGATACTTGGGTTTTTTTTAATTTCTGCCTGGAAATTTCTCTGTTGTTTTCTAACTTGTTCTCTAGTCCTCGTATTCCCTCAGCTATGGCAGTATTCCCAGGAGCCAAATATGAGTGCACTACCTCAAAATGCCAGCCGGGGAAGCTGGCAAACAAGTTGGGGGGGAAATCACAAAAGGAATCTTTGCCTCTGAAGCTTGGGGCAAAGGCAGAAAACACATCATACCACACTGACAGACCAGCAGGTACACAGACAGAGAAGCTAAAATCACAGGTAAGGACTCCATTTTTATTTTTGTCTGCCTCTAGCTCATGTAGTTTGTTACAGCCCTTTCAAACTTCCCATTGAAACTTCCTTTCAAAATTGTGATGCCATCTGTATTTGAAGAAAATAGGTAGTGATTAAGTCCAGCAAATTCAGGATTTTTATTGGGGATAATCTGGGGCACGGTCCTGCTTCCACACTTTCAGCTGAAGTTATGGACTTAGTCTTGTCCCATTAAAACCAAAAATAACAGTAAAATCAATTTATTTTAAAAAGAAGTTAACAAGCATATTAAGTAACTCTCAACTGGTTTTGAAACTTTTTTTCCCCCTTTAGAATAATAGATGTCCTCAATCCCATGTTATATATTTTCCTGTAATTATAATGTTGTTTATAGGTTAGAGCAAGAGATTAGGCATTAGGAAACAAGTTCTGATCCCATTGGTTTGCTGTGTGACCATGGATAGGTCAGTGTGAGACCTCTCAATACCTCTATGAGACACTTTCCCCCCAGTGTTCCCATGTGCAAAAAAGCAAAAAACACGTTGCCACCTTTGTCTTCAGTTTGAGATACTCAGATGGAAAGTGCTATAGAAGTGAAAACTATTATTAGTATTTAATTAACTGTTTTACAGCCCAGTTATACAATGCTAAAATTCTACTTTGGGGTTCTGATTGCAGCGTAAGCCACATATATTCTTGTGTTGCACTGTTGCATGTTTATCTGTTATAGAAAAAAAATAGAAGGTTCTATTTGAAAAATTGATTTTTATTTACAGTTATGTCATCCAAAAAGATGCTCTTAGTACACCTCTACCCCGATATAATGTGACCTGATATAATACGGATTTGGATATAACGCGGTAAAGCAGTGCTCCAGGGGGGCGGGGCTGTGCACGCCGGCGGATCAAAACAAGTTCGATATAACACGGTTTCACCTATAACGCGGTAAGGTTTTTTGGCTCCCGAGGACAGCATTATATCGGGGTAGAGGTGTACTAATATGTCATAACAGTTCTACTACGAGACTTTCATTTGTATGCTGTGCTCTAGGAACATACAGAATACGTAGGCATTATAGGTGTGTGCACAAGTGCACTCACACAAAGCATATACATTCTAATGGAGTTACTTTTTGGAAGAAGATGGAAAGGAGTTACACTAAAAACATTAATGGGCTAGATTTCTCCTTGATGTGACTCCACTGTCTTCAGAGAACATACCCGAAGGATGTTTATCTCGGTGAATTGTATGAGCTAAGGTGATTTTGTAAATGATCCAGTTCAAGCAAATATACAAATCAGAGACAAAACTCCTCCACCCCTCTCCCCCTACCCTTATATCTGTTTGCTTGTATTTTAACATTTAGGGACATAATTAAAACACCAAAATGTTGAGTTTATAAGTACAATCTTAGATCTCATTGCAAACTTCTTCAAGACAGGCTGTATGACCTTGATTCTTAACACCAAAAAATATCAGGCAGTATATTAGGCAGTACCTAAATAAAATGGCCTGAGTTTTAGAGGTGCTGAGCGTGCTCAGTGTGTCTGAAAATCAATCCACAGACCGCTTTATTTAGATATCTAAATGTGGATCTAGATGCCTAACTTTGGGCATCCTATTTTGAAAAATTTGGCCTAATACTTTATATACCTATAAAGCTGTATGTATAAAGCTCAGGGTTTCCTATAGCATATGCCACAATAGCATTGAGTGTAAGGAGAGTTCTCTTCTGACTATTCGTCTATTTAAAATTCCCAGACTGGTCTATGCTTTTTTTCTTTAACTACATATGGGAAGAACATAAATCTTTCAGAAAAATAATTCTTATATTATGTCTCTTTCTTCTACATCACAGGTCTTACTAATTACTTATTTTCAAAGGTCTTTCCAGTATTTGGCTTATCAGAATTAAGAACTGTTGATGTACTTGTATGAAATGAATGTTAGTCATCCATTTCTGTTTGCTTTTGCTGACAAATAGAATATTTTGCTAAATTTAAGTATGTTTAAATCTTTTCCCCTGACATTATTGTGATTGGTTTTTCTTATTCTTTGATATCATGGCATTTTTGATACGGGAAGTTATCTTTTCTCAAAAACATATTTTTGGGTCATTCTGTATATTCCATGAATCCCAGTTTTGTTTGATGTAATTAATTCCATAACAATGTAGTACCTGACATATGTTTGTTTCTTAGGCAAACGTGTAAAACTCTTCAAGTCCGAATGGAGAAGTAGAAAAAGGAGGTTTCTGCTGTGCCTGATGACAATTTTTGATTTTTCCACACACACAAAATATCCTGGCTCCATCCTGGAGCACTAGTTGTGGTGAATCCTAGGCTTGGTCGGATTCTAAGGAAGGGCCAGAAGGTTCGTTGAGGAATAAAGAGTCAAAACCACTCCAGAAATGTGTTCCAGCCCTGGTTTATTACTCACACAGCAGCAGGTGTGTACAAATACCGGTTTCCACAGTCTTAACAGGATTTGCTGTACCTTATTCTTTATTGTAGTTACTTATAGTGCTCCACATGCCCATGAACCTTGGGTTACTGATATGAAAAGTAATTGGATGTAGGGCCATTCTTATGTTCTAAGTTTTAAAGCCAAAAGCCCAATTCTGCATTCCCTGCACATCAAACTTTTCTCATTGACTTCTCTGGGTGCACATGGAAAAGTAGAACTAAAATGTCATGTTGGCACCAGTGTGCACTCAGTCTACAATATATCTATTTTCTTCATAATGGAAGGCCCTAAAGAAAGGAATTTGTGCAAATCTAATCCCTGACCAATCCCAACTAGAAATAATTTATTAAAGACAGGAAAGGTTTGATGTTTGGTGTCTTCAAAGACTCAGGGAACTTTACAGCCATTTGGATGTATTGGGAAATGTTCTGTTTCATATACAGAATAAGCTTTATCTACTAGTTCAAGCACAGAATAGAGCATCAGGAGATCTAGATTTCTCTCATACTGACTTACTGTGGGATTCTTGGGAAACTGCTTAAACCAAAATTTCCAAATTTAGGTGGCTAAAATTTTGAGGAGTACCTAAGTGACTTAGGCCCCAAGGAGCCTAAGTCTCATTAAAAGTTAATTGTCCTATGTTTACTACAAGCATCTGAGTAAATAGCCTGATTTTCAGAGATGTTGAGCACGTACAAATGTAACTGAAGTCACTCAAGTTTGAAAATTTTGGTCTATGTGACTTGCCTAAGACAAATATCAAGTCTCTGGCAGACCAGGACAACAACCTGACTCTCAGCTCTCTCTTTTAACTAGTAGATCAGGCATATGCTACGGAAAGTATGATTGAATGGTGTTAAAGTTTCCAGAGCCTTTGAAACAGTTTCTTGAGCTCCCAGGGACGTGGTTGCCTACAGCTGGGCACGTGTAAATCCACATATACCTACTGTGTAGTACATCTGGATTTATGTGCCTACTTGTAGATACCCGTGTTTGAAACTTTTGTCCTTAACATCTCTGCATTCTAGTTTTTTCACTTCTAAAAAGGGAATAATAAAATACTTATCTCACATGGGTGTTATGAGGCTTATTTAGTTAACCTTTATAAAAAACATTAGGATTCTCAGATGCAAGGCATTATAGAAATGCAGAGTAGTACAATTATATCAGCAAGTGCCTGCCAATCTTATAAGCTGATCTTTTTCAGAGTGGATGAACATGCACAAGTGGCAGGACAAACTGTCATCTGCTTTCATGAATTGCATATGAATGATAGTTTATGGCAAGCACACTGTATGGATTTCAGAGTTCCAAGTAATAGTGCATGTCCATCTGTTCAAAAGATTTGTTTCTAGCCTAGATCTTCATTTGCAGAGTACAGGAAACTAAAAACCATTGACAGATGTTTCTGGTTGTGCAGGCCCACATTGATTCGGAATTCTTATACTACCATTAGGCTTTTAAAAGAAAAACATGGTTATTCCCATAGAAATGTGTAACTAGCACAAGCCAGTTGGGTCTATTCCCTGTTAGGAAAAGTTCACAAATGAATTGTTTTTCAGAGCCTCTTTTATTAATGTTTTTGGGAAATGTTAATGCCTTACTAAGAACAAGAATTAGGAAGCAGAAAAGGAAGGAAGTGTCCTGTGTCCACATAAGAGAGGTCCTTCTTGTTGCAGGATTACAGAACTCTGCTTCCATTCCCAACTATTACAAATATAAGACATAATTCTGTAAAACTTTATTCACATGAATAAGGATTAGCATCAGAGGGTCCAATAGACAAGCATGTATGAATGTTATCATATGCAGAAATAGGTTAATTTAGCATATTTACTTTATTGTTGTGTCTTAGAGAATAACATGAAACTCAGGGTACATAGCCAGGAATTTCTATGAACTGTCTCTTCCCTTATTTATTTAGTTTAAGGGGAAGCTGGTAAATTCCTATATTTAGGTTGCCTAATGTTATCCATTATAAGAGATTCTTGCAATTTTTTCTGTTAAGAAGGTCTTATAGTTCCATTGTTGGCAGCAGGCCCTTTTCTTTGTCCCATGAAATTCCAATTAGATTAGAGTGAGAAATAAAGTATTAAAAATCACTAGTTCCCTCCTTTCACTTGTGTTTCTCAGAAAACTGTTGAGGGCCTGCCAAAATCACGGAACGTTCCCAGGCCTGACTTATGGAGCAGCAACATCACCACACACTCCTTTGGGAACACAAGAGGGTTGGCAAAGGAGCTGTAGCAGGGTTGGAGAGAAGAGAGCTGTGCTGGGTCCTCCAGATCCAGAAATGACCTTTTCCACTATTCCTCGCCCTGGGAGTAGCATGTGGCACAGAATCTCCACCAACTCCTGAGGGGTGGGAGAGACAAAGATATACAGCTTTAATTCTGTTCCCTTGTGTATATGCATTTTAATATAGTCTTTAAACTACATTATAACATAATATTTTGTCCCCACAGAACATCTGCTTTATTCAATGCAGAGGATAGGCATACAAGGGACAGCTTAAAAGTTGCATGGGCAATCATAAATCTGGAAATTCCTAACTTTTGAGTGCTTGACTTTGCAACCTAAATGACATACTTTTAATATAATTGTTGTGTGTATAATATGTATTAAAAAATCAAAAGAACTGTCTGTCAATAAGCTGAAGATCAAAGTATTGTAAAAAAAATAGCTAATGAACACAGAATGGTCCAGTACACACTGATTTCAAAATATTGTGCACTGTTGTCTGGCTAATCTTCTAAAATTATTAAACCATTAAGTGAGAATAATTAGATGTCTCAATTAAACCTATAAACCACTCAATGGTTAGCAAATACATATAGATGTATTTACCACTTGGAATTAATAGGTATTTATATTAAAACATGCTGTATCACATATTGACTGGATCCTTCAATCCTCACACATGCAGGAATAAATGACCCTAATGCAAATTGTCTCATTGGGTAAAGAGAAACTAATAATGTGAGTAAAGGTTGCATTTATGGGCTTGATCTTACCGCCACAGGTGTAGAGAAGTGTAAGCCTTGGTCCTGGGCTAGCAGGAGCTGTTATAATGGGGGTTCATTCCCAGGAGAGGGAAGATGCTGTTTGCACTATACCACAGTCCTGGGAATTTCACAAGTGAAAGGCAGCTTTAATTTGTATTCAGAGTTCCAGGGCTGGAATCTGCCCAGAGTCTACCCATTCACCTGACTGTGCCCCCTCCTGGCTAACAATACCAACTTTTTGGGCTACACAGGATAAGTCTGAGGATCAGCTTCATGACATCTTCTGAGGCCTGGTCTATACTACACAATTAGGTTGACGTAAGCTGCCTTGCATCGACTTAGCTGTGGAGGTGTCTTCACTTAAATTTGGCTTCTGCTGATGTAAGTGCCTCTCTACGTCAACTTAGTAACACCACATTTTTGTAGGATGTCTTTTTGAGTTTGAGATCATTGAAGATCTCCTGGTTAAAGCCCGGGTGGTTTCTTGGCGTACTGCCTATGTTTCCATGCAGAGGTTACGGATGAAGTAATGAGGTTGACGGTGATAGTGTAGACACCATGTTACTTATGTCGACTATTACTGGCCTTCAGGAGCCATCCCACAATGCCTCACACTGGCTATACAATCGATACAAATGCTTCTGGGAGTATGTGCACTGCTGACACAAAATGCCATGTGTGCACACACCAAGCAATTTAATAACTGTGGTGGCTGTATACTGATGCAAGTTAGGTTGACATAATTTTGTAGTGTAGACATGGCCCCAGTTACGCTGGCAAGAGATGGTGTAGCCTAGGGCTGAATCTTACTCTAAACGTTTACCCACTGTGACAAAGTTCCTCCTCTATCTTGGTTGGTCCTGCGCTTATTGGCGGATTTTCTTGCCTCAGAGATTCACCATGTGGGTTGGGGAACAGCCCAGAGACCTTCCCCTCTGGAAGAACCCACAGTCCAGGTCAATTGGGAGGTTTAGGGGGAACCCGGGCCCGCCCTCTACTCCGGGTTCCAGCCCAAGGCCTTATGGACTGCAGCTGTCTATAGTGCCTCCTGTAACAGCTGCATGACAGCTACAACTCCCTGGGCCACTTCCCCATGGCCTCCTCCAAACACCTTCCTTATTCTCATCACAGGACCTGCCTCCTGGTGTCTGATAACACTTGTGCTCCTCAGTCCTCCAGCAGCACACTCTCTGACTTTCAGCTCCTTGCACCTCTTGCTCCCAGCTCCTCACACTCGTACCACAAACTGAAGCGAGCTCCTTTTTAAAACCCAGGTGCCCTGATTAGCCTGCCTTAATTGATTCTAGCAGCTTCTTTCTAATTGGCTCCAGGTGTCCTAATTAGCCTGCCTGCCTTAACTGGTTCTAGCAGGTTCCTGATTACTCTAGTGCAGCCCCTGCTCTGGTCACTCAGGGAACAGAAAACTACTCATCCAGTGACCAGTATATTTGCCCTCTACCAGACTCCTGTACCACACTGGTCTGGGTCTGTCACACCACCCACATGAAGAAATGTGTTAAGGTTCAGTTATATTAAATTATATAGTGTTGTTTTAAAATAAAGCAAGTGAGTTCATGTACAATTACAGACAACTTACAGCAGCCAGTCACCAATTTAAATTAAAAAGTCTGCAACTGCAGAGTAATTATACTTTAATTGCTCATTTAGAACATAGAAATGAAGTAAGTCTAATTCGTTGTATTCATAATATAACAACCGTGTGAAAAAAGATATTAGCATAAAGGGAGCAATTATGTTCCAAGTATGAACAAATTAATTCAAATACATATTTAGGGTGTTAAAGGTGTTATGTCCTTTTTTCCACTAAGCGCCAGAAAAGTTAATTTTCAGATTTATTATTAAATGAAAAGTTGGTTGGAATATATTTGTGCCCATTTGGAGTGTTACTGTTCTCTTAGGATTTTAAAGATTGAGTATATACTGCTGTCAAACCTTATTTTTCCATAAAAAAATATAT